TACACTGTAAAAAATGACCGTGAATTTAATGGTAAAAGACTGTAAAAATGCTACAGTAAAAACCTGTTAAATGGTTAACGGTAAATTCCCCTACTATATACGGTGAAAAACTGTATTGGACATTACATGTATTGGACATTAATTTTACGGTAGTATACCGTTTTTGGAAGTGAAAAATACCGTATAATTTACCGTGAATAACCGTAAATTGACATTCCCAGAATTCCCTGCGTTACATTTCAAATTTGATGTTTTTTTGTTGAAATAACTATGTTTCTTCTTAGTTTTTTCTTATCCGTTTTGTATATTAGGGTTGTGTGTTACACCTAATGTTGTTAAATGAATGTTTATTGCATTATTTCAGTTTCATGTGTGTTACCATGATGGTGTTTAGTGTTTGTGTGAATGACACTGTGCACCTTCTCTATGTGTTAGTATTTAAAAGCTGCTTGTGATGGGCTTTGGTTCATCATGTGACTTTCTCATCACCACCTGCATTTGGTGGTCATCAGTGTATTACAAAGGTACAAAACAGATTTCAGTACTTCAATAGATTGGTATATTAAAATTATATCAGTTAATGAAATTATGGTATTTAACTGTAAATTTAAGTTAAAACCGTAAAACCTAAAATGCTGCTACCGTATTTTTTACTGCCGGTTTTTTTCCGTAAATTTTACGGAATTTTTTTTGCAGTGTATTTATACAAACTCATTCTTTCACTATTAACACATTTTATATGCATCATGTGCTTACACAGTGCATGAAATTGGTTAGTTTCCCAGAGGAAACATTGTGCAATAGAGGGTTAAAGAGTCATGATGACCTGATCACATTACAGAAACAGATACACATCATTATCTTCCTGGTTAGAAACCACTTCAATTGATTTAAAGAATAATAAAATAAAAGTCTGAGCAGAAAGAATCATTTTGGGATTTGCTTTCCCCTAAAGTCAACTCTAGAGAAGAGATACACTGTCATTGTACTGACACTGCTTTTCTTGCATTAAGCATATTAGATTATTCAGATATTATCAGTTCTTAGAGCCTAAGGGCAATGAATAAATAGACAATGGAGTGGTTATATTGAATTTTTCTGTAGGTGGAATATTATATTAAGCTTGTGTAAGCATAAATGTTCACTTCCTCTCTGTGTGCAGATGGATTAGCAGCAGTGGGGAGAATAGACTCAGCAAACAATGGTACAAATACATGCTGCACTATCCTATTAATAAAAGAATAAACACAAATCTTCTATCTTCTTCTCCTGCTTTGATAAAGATGGGTTTTTTTCTTTCAAACTTTTGATGTGTTATCTGGCACATTCCCTCTAAACAAATCAATAGCACACATGATTGACCCTGATCTCTGACAGCCCAACAAAATTAGCCTGGGCGGAGTGTTGTTCCCTCTCACGCGTGTCAGCGCTGAACAAGAGCATTAATAGAATATGAAATATACAGGCATTTGTATAAACCATGCTGAGCATGCACCTGTGCTATTTATAATAACTTGTCTTTTCTGGGAAGGACTAGGGCTTACATCATGAATATAATCCATCTTGGGTTACAACTTAACTGGAACTGTTACCTTCAAACACCCTAGTTCCTGCTCTTATGTTGCCTGCCTTCTGTCCCTATTAACACACACACACACATAAACAAATTTACTTTGCTATCTAAATAAGCCTTAGAGTTGTATTGTTTCATATACCGCTAACTGGATAAATTTTTTTAGAACACACACACATCTTATTTTTTCAAGGACATCCACAATTAGATAAGAAAAAAAATATATAAAATTTATAAACCACACAGACCTTGAATGTGTGTGTGTGGTTCAGGTATTCCCTACTTTATGGGGTCAAAATGTACCCACAAAGATGGCAATATCCAAAATACTTGTAGGCACATTTTTTGGTCCACATGATAAGCTTATAAATCATACAGAATAATTTTTTTTGAAAATCTAAGACAGCAAGACGTTTTGTATGAGGGGTAGGTTTAGGGTAAGGGGATAGAAAATGTGTACAGTTTGTAAAGTGTAAAAATCTTAACGTCGATTGTCTCTATACAACATGGAAACCTAACGTGTGTGTGTGTGTGTGTGTACATGTTTTTCTATCCCGGGGGGACTTAAACCTGAATACACATCGACTCATGGGGACTATTGTCACCGTGGGGACATAAATTGAGGTCCCCATGGGGAAACGAGCTTAAAAATCATACAGAATGATGTTTTTTTGATAATCTTAATATGAAGAAAGCTTCCTGTGAGGGTTAGGTTTAGTGTAGGGTTGGTGTAGGGCGATAGAAAATACAGTTTGTACAGTAGAAAAACCATTACTCCATTACGTATGTCCCCACAAGGATTGATGTATGTGTATGTGTGTGTGTGTGTGTGTGTTAAAAACAGTTTGCATCTGTGTTTTTTCAGTATCATATTTGATACATCAGGCTTTTATGGCTCATATAGCATGAAATAGGAGAGTATGGAGCTCACATTAGGAGGAAATCAGTAAGATTTTTATAACAGAACAGCAGGAATGTCTGTTAGACAATAATGTCTTTGTATATATATATATATATATATATAGGTTTGGATTCAATTGAGGATAACCTTGAAAACCTAGAATAACCCCAATGGGAGGTTTTGTTTTATTAGATTTAACTTCTGTCCCAAACCTATAGATAAATATGTACACACACATTTACCTAATCTGAATGAAGACATATTGTCACGAAGCGGTAAGGGAGCACCGTGGAAAAACAGGGTCAGGGTCCAAAAGCAGGCGAAGCTTAGATTTAATGAACAGAAAGGCAGACAAAAAGAAACAAAAAACAGATCAGGATGTATCAACAAAACAGGATCAGGTGAGGGATACAAGGGGGACCTGGGGACTGAGGTAGAGCCGGTAGGATGGGGACCCAGGGCAGAACCAGCGGCAACCACAGCGGTGTGTGAGGAGCTGCCGCCTTGGAACGGGCAATGGTGGGCTCCGCCGCTTCGGGAAGGCTTAAAACGAGCCTCGCTACCTCTGAGGGAACATCAGCGGGCTCCGCCGCTTTCGGAAGGCCAGAAGCAAGCCCCGCCGCCTCGGAGGGAACATCAGCGGGCTCCGCCGCTTCGTGAACCTTGTGAGTGAGAACCACCGCCTCAGGAGCTTTGTAAACGAGTCCCGCCGCCTCGGAGGGAACATCAGCGGGCTCCACCGCTTCGGGAACCTTGTGAGTGAGAACCGCCGCCTCAGGAGCTTTGTAAACGAGCCCCGCTGCCTCAGAGGGAACATCAGTGGCCTCCGCCGCTTCGGGAAGGCCTGAAGCGAGCCCCGCTGCCTCGGAGGGAACATCAGTGGGCTCCGCCGCTTCGGGAAGGCCTGAAGCGAGCTCCGCCGCCTCGGAGAGAGTACTAGCGGGTTCTGCCGCTTCGGGAAGGCCTGAAACGAGCTCTGCCGCCTCGGAGGGAACATCAGCGGGCTCCGCCGCTTCGGGAAGGCCTGAAGCGAGCTCCGCCACCTCGGAGAGAGTACTAGCGGGCTCCGCTGCTTCGGGAAGGCCAGAAGCAAGCCCTGTTACCTCGGAGGGAACATCAGCGGGTTCCGCCGCTTTGGGAAGGCCTGAAGCGAGCTCCGCTGCCTCGGAGAGAGTACTAGCGGGCTCCGCCGCTTCAGGAAGGCCTGAGACGAGCTCTGCTGCCTTGGAGGGAACATCAGCGGGCTGCGCCGCTTCGGGAAGGCCAGAAGCGAGCCCCACCACCTCAGAGGAAATATCAGCGGGTTCCAGAAGCAAGCCCCGCCGCCTTGGGGGGGAACCTCAGCGGGCACCGCCACCACGGGAGCATTGTGAGCGGACCCCGCCGCCTCGGGGGAACTGTGAGCGGACACCGCCGCCTCGGGGGAACTGTGAGCGGACACCGCCACTTCGGGGGAACTGTGAGTGGACACCGCCGCCTCAAGAGATATGTGAGTGGACAGCGCAGCTTCTGGAGCTTTGTGAGCAGACACCGCCGCCTAGGGGGAACTGTGAGCGGACACCGCCGCCTCGAGAGATATGTGAGCGGGCACCGCCGCTTCTGGAGCTTTGTGAGCGGACACGCCACCTCGGGGGAACTGTGAGCGGACACCGCCGCCTCGAGAGATATGTGAGCGGACACCGCCGCTTCTGGAGCTTTGTGCGCGGACACCGCCGCCTCGGGGGAACTGTGAGTGGACACCGCCGCCTCGGGGGAACTGTGAGTGGACACCTTCGCCTCGGGGGAACTGTGAGCGGACACCGCCACCTCGGGGGAACTGTGAGCGGACACCGCCGGTTCCGGAGCTTTTGTGAGCGGGCACCGCTGCTCGCACCGACCTCAGCGGAAGATCCTGCACGCTGCGTATCAGCCCAGGACGGCCCAGGAACGGGCATGAGGTTCTGGGAACAGCTGACAAGACCTCTGAAGTCTCCTGGATCGCCGCTCCGAGAGAACTGTGAGTGGGCTCCACAGCGAACTCCACCCTGAAGGATGAGCCTCTCAAGTACAGAGCCCGATTGACATATTCCGCCAGTGACTCCTCGGGGGGGCAGCAAGGCATAAGGGACTTGGAAGGGCTCGGCTAGGCCTCCCCAGAAAAAGACCATGAGGCAGGTCTTCTCCGTGGCCGACTGGCGAGCAAGTCCCACGAAGTC